CACAACGCATACATAATAATAAATAATAAATAATAATAAAAGTCTTTATTCCATCATAAGATAAAACTACATATCTTATGTTACAATGAATTTGGAAAAACTACAGAAATCTACATACATATTATGAATTAAAAAGTATGTCATTACAATAAATGGAGCTTAAATATCAACCTATTTACAAAGGTGTTCATAAAGCGCTGTGTATTAATTTTCGGGCGCGCGCAGCCTTTTTTCCTAAGATTGTGTACATATGTCTTTTGGACAGGAATGATGTCTTTCAGGGGGTGGCAATCCGTTGATTTTAGTTTCTTCAAAATGTTTCGGTCTTGTTTGTTTAAAAGGTTCTTGATAAAAACTGGAAATGAGATAAAACCGCGTTTATGACATCGGTCTAAAAAATTTTGTACAACCGTAAGATCGGACTCAGATGCCCCATAGACTGAAAGTGCATAGCTAAAATTAGCCAAAACAATGGATATAAAAAGATGATCAATCTCTGCCTGAGAGTAATGTTCCTTTCTCAATGTTCGTAGGACGTGTAAACACTTGTTTGCTTTGACAAGCTTAGTTCTTACATGCTCATCAAATTTTCCGTCACTCTGTAAAGTTACTCCTAGTAAAACGAAGCTATTACATTGGGGAATATTATTAATTGGAGAGTAGAGTACATTATGATTTTTCTTTCTAACAACCAGCTCTTTACATTTGCAAGGGTTGCAGACCATTCTATTGTCTTTACACCATGTTAAGAACTGTCCTACTAAGTCGGCAGACGGGTCACTATTCCTAGTGATAGGCGAAAGAATAGTGGAATCATCGGCATATTTAAAAAGCACAGGGCAACCATTAAAAAAAATCTCCAAATCGTTCAAAAATATATTAAAAAGATACGGTCCGCTTACACTACCTTGTGTGGTTCCTCTATTGACAGATTTCCACTGTCCTAAAAAATTATAACTAACAACACGTTGTTGTCTTGCATAGAGGAAACTATGATACCAATTGATAATGTACGGATTTAGAGGTAGCTGTTTCAGTTTGGCAGACAAAATAGCATGGTTCACAAAATCGAAAGCCTTACTGAAGTCCATGGTAAAAATTCGCACTGCGCTACAGTCACTACTATCTAAATACTTGTATGTCTGGTGCTGGATAGCGAGCAAGGCATTTGTGCAACTACCCGCCTGTCTATATGCAAATTGGGTGTGGCTCAGGTTGTTCTCAATGACTGACTGTGCTTGTGTACGATACACGACCTTCTCGAACAACCGGGCAATAACGGGAGTAACATTAATACCACGGTAGTCTGAGTCCTCTATAGGCATGTTCACTTTGGGGAGAGGATTAACATTTGCCCTTTTCCAGGAGTCTGGCCATGTATGAGTAGACAGCGACAGATTCCAAACGTGAGTGACGATTGGTGTGAGTAGCTCAGCACAGTCTTTCCAGATCCAGTACGGGAGGTCGTCTGGTCCCGTTGCCGTTTTCTTTACATGAACTAAGGTATTCCAGACACACCGCTCAGATATTTTCGGGGGCTTTACACTGTCCGGGATATCCATATCACTAGGTCTAACGTAAGTGTCATCATAGCACAGGTTGGCGAAGTAGTCGTTCAGACGAACTAGAGAGTTCTTGTCCAAATTTATCAACGATGACCTGCGACGCTGCGATAGGGCGTCCACGCCCTTCCACCACTCACCGCTACCAATGGCAGCCAGTTTTCTTCTGTTCTCGGTTATCAGCTCAGAAATGCGCTTATTAAATAAAGACAGACGTTCCTTGTTGTTTAAAGATATATGGGACTTAGTCCTCAGCATACACTTGACTAATGGGGACATCCAAACTGGGTCACGCGATGACATGCGTACAGATTTTTGCGGCATAAACTTATTCATCACTGCACGAATCTTTACCTCAAGCACCTCGACCGCCTTGTTTATGTCCACCTCATTGAGGACGTCACTCCAGTTCAGCGTAGTGAGTGCCATATAAAATTACTGTTTCCGATGTTCCCTACAGTCCCGCACAAGAACTTTGCGGCGCACGGGTTTAAGTTTTAATCCCGCCGTTAACGTTAACGTTCTTTATTGTGGAATGAATTGCGTAACCGAAGCATGAAACCAAGTGTAAGAAGGGCAAAACTCGTGTCATGAATACATCCGTTTAGGGTTGGTAAGGAGCCTTACAAATATCCTTCCCAGCTGTTGTTTGGTCATGTCACGCAACGAGTTCTGATGGGGGAACGAGCGTGTTGCATGGTTTACAACGCTTTCGTTCCGAACAGCAAATCATGAAAAGATAGACAGCAACATTAGCTATGAAATGTAAGATCATCCTACTGTAAAAAATATCGCACGAGATACAGAAAATGAAAAAGTTACGATAAATTTGCGTGCAACTAATTTTAAGAAACGAAAATCAGGTAACTTCAATGTCATTATTTATATTTTTTCTACACCAAAATACCTAAACATCTAATTTTCAAATTTGTTTCGTACATATGCAAAGCAAATCTGTGGCGTCCAGATTAAACTGTACAAGATTTCCACTTGTGGTTTGGAATTGACCTAGCGTCACGTCCTTCCTTGTTTTTCGTCCACGTTGAGATCGTCAAATTCTTGTATTTGTTGTTCAGCGTCGATTAGCGAACTATGATTTTCAGCATTGGGGAAACTATTTGCAGCTCCTTCATCCACAGTCATGGTAGCTGCTTTTGTAGAACCTGAAGTTCCTTTAACCTAAATGAATTAAAAAAAAAAAAAAAAAGAAGGAAAGCTAAATTTTTTAGGAGCTCTGTTGTAGAGAAAAAAAAAAAACAAATACTCTTTTCGATTGGTAATTGAGCGACTTGCAATGGGATCCAGAAAAGATTACATTGAGTTTTCTTCACCAAGTTCTTTAAGCGTTTCTATTGATCTACAAATAATATATTTAACCAATAACTCGATGAAAAAGAAGAGTCATTTGCAGTCCAGTATATTTTGCTGAAGCGATGTTTAGAAAGTTACCCAAGGTACCTCACGATTTTTCTCGCGAGAATGAGTAATTCGAGGGGTCAGGGCCCGAAGGCAGACTTAACGAATAGGTAGCAATACAGAATTGATTGGAACGAGAAACCGGATGCTAAGCTTGATAACAAGCTTGTGTTCGGGAAAAGTGGTTATCTCGAGAAGCAGCGAGGATCTGATTCGAGCCAGGCCTTCATGATTAGCACTGTATGATACGAGTTTCCACCCGCGGGAAGATTTGAGACGGGAGAGGTCTCCCGGGAGTCTGGCACTAAATAGAGATATTTAGCACCACGTTTACGCGAAATGCGAATGGGAAGAGTGACCACGTGACCTTGTTTTGCCCGCCATTTTTTCACGTTTCCCGGTTGTGCTTTGCCATTTCGCTGTGAAAGTAACCTGTTACGCCTTTGCCGGGTACGTAAGATTTTCTTCACTTTTTCTCTCACAGAGTAGAGGCTAATTGCACCAAAGGGCACCAAAACGATTCCTTGTAAGAAATACAAGCGTGCCTTCAAATCCACCATGACGTAAGCTCACGCGAGGCTAGCTAAAGCAGCAAGGTTCACGCTATGTTACGTGAAACGTGAAAGGGTAAGCTGACGTTTGCCATTTCATGTAACGCGGTGCTAAACCTCTCTTATATCAGTGCTACACCCCCCCTTTGCAGATCTACCGCCGGCTCTCGTTGCTCAGACTGCACAAGGCCTCCTATTTTCCCGCCAGCGAAGAAACGATTGATCGAAGCGCTTAAAATGAAGGCTTGCACGCGGGCTGATATGGTGGCGTCTATCAATAAAATATCAAGCGCACAACTGAAGAAGCCGTTGGCATCCAGGGTCGAAAAAAGTGAGAAAAGGAGAGGAGATGGGAAGAAACAAAAACAGAAAATAATAACAGTGAGGAAAAAAAGAAAATAATAATGAGGATCTACATCAAGAAGCTTACCTGTTTTTGTTGTACTTGTTGCGGCGGTGGCGTTTCTATTGATATTGTAACTGGACCATCATTCTGAATATGAACTTGCATGTACGCTCCAAATTTTCCGTCTGAGAAGGAACAGAAGGAAAAAATAAGATGTGTCTATTTATTTAATGAGCTTAAATCCACCTCACACGTAAATGGATATGTATGGGACGAACAATAAAATATTTACTACGTACCTTTCGCTGGGCATTTATTAAACATTTTTCACAGCACTTCCCCCTCACAAAATCAATCTTCAGCAACTTTCCCGCCCTTAAGGCAAGAAATTAATGAGGTACACTGTGATTGGACGCTTTCGAATAACAACTTCTGCTGATTGGTTTAAAACTTGTTTAACACATCTACGTCACCGCGTAAGCGCTCGAAACGTTTAAATTTTGTTGCTGCGTGTGGTCAAATTTAACCTCTCCGTCCACTTTCTTCGAGGTAGTCTGGAAAAGCCGGAATCCGGAATTCCGCCGGAATATTTCAACGTCGGAATATTTCAAAACGACTCCGATGATTTTCCGAAGAGTGTACGAGCTCCAAATATACTCCGATGATTAACACGAAGATTATTCGATGGTTTCCAAAGTTACCCAGAGAGCCCTGAATTTTTCAAGGCTTGTTTTTTCAATTCTTCTTCTTTCTTTTTTTAAGATTTTTCCGAAGAGTGTACGAGCTCCGAATATGTACTCCGATGATTAACTGAAAACTATCCGAGGGTCTCCGAAGTTACCCGGAGATCCTCGAGGAACAATCGAATCCCCGGCTTCATTTGTTTTTTAATTTGTTTTTTAGGCCTCCCTGAGTTTTCCTCAACAGACCTTGCAAGTGGCCTGTATCGAAGCAGGGACGACGTGTGCACAGACATGCGATGTTAATATGGTAGTATCCTCTTTGTGCTCTTCCTAACTTCCAACATTTTGTGCCATCTAAGTACAGATTTGGACACCAGTCCACCTCTAAACGTCCAATGACTGCCAAGCTATCAACGGGCTGAGAGTCTCTTTGAAAGCTTCCTTCACTTCCGTTACATTTTGAGATGTTTCCTTTTAGCTTTATTTAAAAGAAAGGATTAGAAGATTGAGGAATGATGGGTTTCGGCGCC